CGAGAGGCTCGTCCCATCAATGTGGGGCACGAAGATGATTTTCTGGCCCGGGTTCCCAGAAAAGAGGCGATGTAAGAACGGAAGACGGACCAAAGAGGGTCTTTACACATTGGGTGGCGGAACTCCAATTGAATACCAGGCTATTTCTTTTCAGGAGTGTATGATACGGCAGGAATTGGACATGTCTATTGGGTGACATTGCTTGGGACCTAATCATGGTTGGTTGTATCGTGTCACCGAATATTGCAAGACAAACGGAAAGACAAAAAAAGTTGTCATTGGGGGCTTGACCTGGTTATCATGAGGGCATTGTGGAATGGGTGCCAGAGGCTGGTATTGAGCGGGTGACAGGCGACCTGTGAACAAGTGAATGACATGCACGTGTATTCAAGTACTGAGCGACACTGGAAGGCACAACAGTGAGGAGCAAGATACAAACAGTGGCTAGGAAGTGCCAGCAGGATATCTGTGAGTACGAATAAGGCTGAATGAACATGTCACTTTTCGACCTGTCACGTCCCTGATTCTCGATTGAGTGACGTTGTTGTTGTATTATGTGACGCCCAGAGTGCCTCTTGGGTGGGTGTCTCAGGTTAGAGACAACGAAGGCACGAGATACGAGTATGGGGAGTCCAGATTTAGCCAATTGGTGGATGTGGTGGATGTTCTGCTGGTGGCAAGATGGAAAATTCTTGTGCTGAGAAATCAATCGAGGCGCACCAAATGGGTGCCAAAGGCAGGAGAAGGAGTTGATATGCATATGAGGATGCACGGTGACGAAGGGGGGTGGGCATGAAGACATCCGATTCGAGACCTGACAATCAAGGGCCAGGCCCGTCCAGGCAGGTCAAGCAAGCCATGGCAGGGCAGATGGAATGGAGATGGAAATGGAGATCATTGTACTCGGTACCTCGTTGGTGTCGTTAATACGAGGTGCCCAGGGTGCCTCACTCTCTACTATTCTTGTAGGTACAGGCGCAGGCAGGGGCGCAGGCGGGGTATGGACAATTTCATATTATAAGGTATTCACCAGGTTGTCACTACTGTTTGGATCCTTTGATTGACCTTGTTTGCCCCCTCCATAATGCCCAGAAGAGCAAACAAACCCCTCCATGGCCCCCCTTCACCTCTACATGTAGAAGTTGGAGATATAAGGTTTAGCCAAAGGAAAAGCCAAGGGAGAGACCGTTTTGTACCGAGAGAGGGCGAGAGAAACAACCGCGACTGCGACCGCGACCATAATCGCAGACGCCAATAATCCCACCCACTCCCTCCAACGAAATAGTACCGATACTGACACCTGCAACTCCCGCCTGCGGTCCCTGCCAATTCCTCCAGCCGCAACTTACTAAGTGACTTGAACCCATATTATCAATTCCACCACCCCCAATCCCCATTCATTTCTCAGTTCTTTACTTCACTTCAGCCAAAAGGCCATACCATAACCACCCAACCCCCCTCTCCCACGGGTTGATTCACCATCTTCGTTCACTTGGACAAGTCCAAGTGTCGTCCATATTCATCCGAGGACAGAATCCTGACATGGCGCACCACAGTTAGCCCTAGCCGCATCCGATCCTCCTTCCCTCCCTCGTTCGTCCCTTGTCCGTCCTCCGTACCACCAAAAATCGCCCTATCCGAACCTCACCTCTTCAGAACAGCCCCCAAGTCCGCTCTTTGCTCGCCCCATTCCCTCTGTCTGAACCCAAGGACTCTCTTCCCCCTTACATTTACCTTTCTACCGACCAGAGAGCTTTCGACCCCTTTGATACACTGATTCTGTGGATCCATTGAATTGGCACCCTGCAGCATCATGGCCGCCACCACCGAGAAACGCAATTTTTCCTCCTTGTCCTTCTCGTCGAAGAAGCATCTGAACGGCGAACCGGCCTCCGGTACTCACACTCCGACTACAACCAAGCTGAAAAACTTCTTCCGTATCAATAGTGGTGGAAGTCAGACCTCGATAGGCTCGGATGGGTTGCCCACCCCCAAGACTGAATCCAAACCCGTCAAACAGTCTAGGTTTCTGCCCGGTTTAAATAGAAATAGATCGACTACTGTTGCTAGCGAGGGACATCCTCTCGACGACGCCATCGCCTCTCCAACGGCTCAGGCCAACCCCTACTTCGTCCATCAAGGCCTTCCTGCCTTGCGTCACCACAACGAGGGCAGCGTTCCGCCTTCGCCTCCAGATACACCAAAAGTTCATGTGAATGGTACAGCGGTGGAAGAGAAGGCGGTCACAGCTGGTAAGGAGGAATTGGCACGGAAGTTGAGAAGAGTGGCTTCGGCCCCAAATGCCCAAGGTCTTTTCAGTGGGAACAAGCCAACTACGGAGCGTCCGTCTACAGCGGAATTAGGAAAGGAGCCTCTGGCTGTGGTCAATGGCTCATCGCCCAGGTTGGGTATGATTCCTCAGGAGGACTCGAGCACCCATAGCCTCCCACCTAAGCCTGGCAAGATTCCGTTACCGGGACAGATTCGACAGTCCGCCGCCTTTCGAAGGACGTACAGCTCCAATTCGATCAAAGTCCGAAATGTCGAAGTGGGCCCGCACAGTTTCGATAAGATCAAATTGATCGGCAAGGGCGATGTTGGTAAAGTATACCTCGTGCGCGAGAAGAAATCGAACCGGCTATATGCCATGAAAGGTTAGTCCTGCCTATTCCATAGTTCCCCAAATGACACAACGCTGACTTCTTTCCAGTGCTGAGCAAGAAGGAAATGATCAAGCGTAACAAGATCAAGAGAGCACTGGCTGAGCAGGAGATTCTGGCCACGAGCAACCACCCTTTCATTGTTACCCTGTATCATTCTTTTCAGTCCGAAGATCACCTGTACCTGTGCATGGAGTATTGTAGCGGAGGCGAGTTTTTCAGAGCTTTACAAACTCGACCAAACAAATGTGTCGGTGAGGAAGATGCTCGGTTCTATGCTGCCGAAGTCACAGCCGCGCTGGAGTATCTGCACCTGATGGGTTTTATCTACCGTGATTTGAAACCCGAAAGTAAGTGCTTTCGACCCCAATATTGCTCCCAGTGTACTGACCATCATAGACATCCTCCTTCACCAGTCAGGACACATCATGCTATCCGACTTTGATTTATCTAAGCAATCGGATTCTGGAGGTGCGCCGACCATGATTTTGGGGACTCGAAACGCCTCGAACCCCACCGGATATCCTCTGGTCGACACCAAGTCGTGCATCGCCGACTTCCGCACGAATTCCTTTGTTGGTACGGAAGAGTATATTGCTCCCGAAGTGATCAAAGGGAATGGGCATACTAGTGCGGTTGACTGGTGGACATTGGGCATTCTGATCTATGAGATGCTGTTTGGAACAACCCCTTTCAAGGGTAAAAACCGAAACGCGACCTTTGCAAACATTCTGAGGGACGAAGTGCCCTTCCCTGACCATTCTCACGTGACCCAAGTCAGCAAGTAAGTACTTATTGCTTATCCGAGGTTCGGGATCTTTGCTGACCTCTCTAAGCCTCTGCAAGTCGCTTATCAGAAAGCTTTTGATCAAAGACGAGGTCAAACGGCTGGGCTCTCGGGCAGGTGCTTCGGACGTCAAAAATCATCCATTCTTCCGACCTATAACTTGGGCTCTTCTCCGCCATATGAAGCCACCTATGATTCCTCACCAAGGCAAGGCTCTTGACACGGTGAACTTCAGAACGGTCAAGGATAGCGGCAGTGTCGACATCGGAGGCCCGGCAAGCCGACTGAAGGGGGTCCCATTGGATTCGGCTTTGGCGACACCTGGAGGAGAGATTGCGGATCCATTCCTGGAATTCAACAGTGTGACACTGCATCACGACGACGAAGACGCGATCGTGATGCAAGACAGTGCAACCACGCAAATTGGGCGGTGACGGTGATGGACTTTTTTTTGTTTCTCTCACTCATTGAAGAAAGCTTGTTTGCCCGTTTCATGGTGGTCAGTTACTGGTGGTGCATGGGCGTTAGGGGGGCGTACGGAAAGGATAAAACATGTCATGAGACACGAAGGTCAAGCGGCTTACTCGTCCCTTTTGATGATGATGAAAGCACGCTGTGAATTCTGGGGTCTCCAAGCATATGCGGCGTTTGAGATATTTCCAAAACTGCGCATGTACAGATATACAGCGGACTACTGGAGACTAGGGAGGGGAGATTGGCCAGCCGCTCGCTCGTTGTCTCTGTTGTCTCTCTATACTATGGATTGAGCTTGTGGAAACATTTTCCATGTGTCTCTCTGTACGGTTAATTCTTGACCGAGATGTTCGTGACCAGATCCGTGAGGGCGCATGATCTACCTATACGAGGTACTTTTGGGGGCAAAGGGAGAGCCTCCTGACTATACAACGGGATGCCAGAATCGCCACAGCTGGGGCTTCAACGTCATAGTGTCGACACCTAACCGCGCTTAAAGCATCGGGCTGCGTGGGCGGTCAAACGGCCAGGGGAGAGCGGTCTGGGTCAACCAATCAGGCCAGGTGTCGCCAAAGCAACTGCGGAGGCCAATGAATTTTTGGAGCTGTAACACGCCTCCATCACCATTCTTTTCACTCACTCATCAATCAGCACCGTCGCACAATACTTTTCCTCACCCGTACTCCCCCGTCAGTCACAAACAGGCCCAAATCCTTCTCTCCGCGGTCGAAGCGGCAAGCGGCAAGCGGTAAGCGGCGACACAAAGATCCCGGGGACACATTTTCACTCAAATTTTACGAGTACCCTCACCTGCCCCTCCACATGTTACACAGTGCATCTTCGTCCTCCCTTGCTCTCATCCAAGGAGCATGGCCAAGTGCTCACGGTTCCATCCCTTCATTCCTGTCCTCCGCGTACGAATCAGAATGAACGTCAGACTGTAGCCGCTCTGTCCAGGGCTTTCAGTAGCTCCTATGGTTCCTCCCTTCTAACTTTTCCTACCCCTGTCCCTCACGCCGAGGCGAGTCTGCAATTCTAGACCTCATTGAAAGATTGAGTCGGGAAAGGTCCTGAACGCCATGAAGTTTGGTCGGAATCTTCCCCGAAACCAAGTCCCGGAATGGGCGTCATCCTACATAAACTACAAGGCCCTGAAGAAGCTCATCAAGGCTGCTGCGGCGGCGGGAGGAGAGAAGCAAGATGGAGATATTCCCGATCTGGCTGGTAGGATTGGGTTGACATGAAAACCAACCGTCGTGACACTCATATTGTATTCTAGGATTCTTCTATACCTTGGACCGGAATCTCGAGGACGTGGACTACTTCTACAATAAAAAGTTCCAGGACTTTTCACGACGTCTGAAACTTCTTGAAGATAGATATGGAATCTCGCCTCAGGCTGCAACCCAGCTCGACGCAGATGAACGTGAAGACCTCCTTGCGGCGCTTCTGGAACTCCGGGGCGACCTGAGAAAGCTACAATGGTATGGAGAAGTCAACAGGAGGGGCTTTATCAAAATCACAAAGAAGTTGGACAAAAGAATACCCGCGGCCCATGCGCAAAAGAAATACCTCGAGCTGAAGGTGGATCCGTCGGCCTTTGCGACAAATACCCAGCTCTTTACATCGTTGAACAAAATCAATGACTGGATCTCCGTCTTGAGTGAGGTGGCAGCCGCCACTCCAAACACCGCCGACGACGTTGCTTCTATCTCCTCAGGGTCATTGAAACGGACAACATCTCGGCCTTCTTTAAACATATCTGTGGAGCAGTTGGCCAAAATCGAGATCAAGATCCGTCAAGACGATGCGCAAAGCCTAAAAGAATGGATCATGGGTATAACGAAACCGGGAGCCGAAAACACAGACGCGGCGGTGCAATCACTACTGAATAATCTCCTTCAGAGGGCAATCTCTTCTCGGAGTCGGGCTTGTGCGGCGTGCCTGCTGCGCGAACTTGTCTTTCTGGATGCTCAAGACGATATTAATCGCCGCAATTGCATCCATCGTCTTATAGTCTCGGTAGGCCGCAAGCAGTCGCACGCAAGCCAGGAGCCCGCGACCGATCCCCAAGCCGATGCTGAAGCCGACCTCCACAACTTTATCACTCCCGCGACGCATCCGTCCCTTGCCTTGAAGCGCTCGATTTTACAGGAAGATCAGCGGGTGCAAAATGTGACGCGTGAAGACGAGGCTGTTGTGTTCCTCCAATTCCTGCTTGATCACCTCAAAGCATCACAACGGCCAGCTCTATTAGCGAGAGATAGCGCCGGGAGAACGCCTATACATTTTGCGGCAGAGTATGGCATTAGGGTCATGTGTGAGATCATCATTGAGCATCTCAAGGCGTGGAAATTGTTCGACGTCACGGAAGGCATTGACGGTCCCAAATGGCAGGACGATGACGGATGGGCACCCTTGCATCTCAGCGCTATTGGCGGTCATCCACTGACAACCAAAGCTTTACTCGATGCCGAGAAGAGCATGACCCCCTCTATCAAGCGAAGATCAGCCAAGTCATCAGTTGTTCTGGCTTTGGCTACCAAAGCAAATTTCATCGAAATCGTCCGACTTCTTATACAAGCAGGCGTCGACATCAATTACCAGGATGAGCAAGGCGATACGGCGCTCCACGTGGCTGCTAGATTCGGCCATGTAGAATGCGCCAGGCTGCTACTCGAGGGCACCGATGAGCAAAAAGCCAACATCGAACTGGCTGAGAAGACTTACGGATGGACGCCATTATTCATTGCTTGTGTCGACGGCCATCCTCCAGTTGTGGAGCTGCTCATTGATCATGGAGCTGATCTAGAGCGCTTGGATTCGTCAGGCTGGAATGCAAAAGAGCATGCGGCTTTGAGAGGGCATGTCGACATAGCACAGAGGCTCGACCGCGTCATGCATGAAGCGGACACCGAAGCGGACGTCTCCCTCGCTTCGACGTCTCCTCCACTGTTGTCATCGCTGAATGAACGGAACTCCAATGGTCTGGGATCAAATGGGCAAACAATCAAGACAACTGAGGCTGTCAAGACCTTTGGTCATCGATATTTGACCGACAAGAGCATGATCTTGGTCAGCCTTGGGACTATGGACACTCGCAAAAGTATCCGTGCGGTTAACCTTGACCGAATCCCCCTGTCAAGTGCTCACTCTACACAGCTCGACACAGCTCTTTCCATTGTCGTCTCGGCCAAAGCCGCTGAGGGTGAACCCGAAGTCATTGACCTCCCAGTCCAAGACAACATTTCGACAGAACCAATTGTCTTCCACGCAGCCGACCCATCCAAGGTCAAGTTGTACTTTGATCTGATCCCGACTTATGCTGGTTCTCAAGACCGCGTGGTCGGACGTGGTGTTGCCTTGCTTTCAAGCATCAAGTCGAGTGTTGGAACCAAAAAGATGTCACTACAAGGCGATGTAACGGTTCCGATTGTTGCGGCAAGCGATCTGGAGGTTATTGGCTCTGTTACATTCAACTTTCTCGTCATCACACCCTTCAAACACCCTAATATGTCAGTAACAGAAAATCAAACGTACTGGAGGAGTATGGCATCGACCATGGTCATAGGCCATCGTGGACTGGGCAAGAATTTTGCCGCCGGCAGAAGATCTCTTCAGCTGGGCGAGAACACCATTCAATCCTTCATCGCGGCGGCCAGTCTGGGTGCTTCGTACGTCGAGTTTGATGTGCAGCTCACAAAAGACCACGTGCCTGTCATTTATCACGATTTCCTCGTCAGTGAAACGGGTATCGATGCTCCCGTGCATACCCTTACACTCGAGCAATTCCTCCACGTCAACGACATGCGAACACCCCGTCATTCGAGACCAGCTTCACCTGTACCCTTTGAAAAGCCGAAAACAGCCAGTCTGAAGAGCGTCGAGCGAGACATAAGAACAAGCAGACTAAGATCCATGTCTGTGAGCGGGGCTACCAGCAACGAGTCTCTTGAGATGGATGAGCGGATGAAACACACGCGCGACTTCAAGAAGAAAGGATTCAAGGGCAACACTCGAGGCAACCATATCCAAGCGCCCTTTGCCACTCTCGAGGAGATGTTCAAGAAGATTCCACAAGAAGTAGGCTTCAACATTGAGATGAAGTACCCCATGCTATACGAAAGCGAGGACGAGGAGATGGACACGTATGCCGTGGAATTGAACTCATTTGTGGACACGGTGCTTGCCAAAGTGTATGAATTGGGCAAGGGAAGGAACATCATTTTCTCGAGCTTCAACCCCGACATCTGTCTTCTGCTGTCCTTCAAGCAGCCCAGCATTCCAGTGCTGTTCCTGACCGACTCTGGCACGAGTCCTGCGGGCGACATCCGCGCCACTTCACTGCAAGAAGCGATTCGCTTCGCCAGCCGTTGGAATCTACTTGGAGTGGTCAGTGCGGCGGAACCTTTCGTCGCGGCGCCTAGGCTGGTCAAGGTTGTCAAGGAAAGTGGACTTGTATGCGTGAGTTATGGGACACTGAACAACGACAGTGCGATGGTGAGGAAGCAAGTGAAGCAGGGGATCGATGCGGTTATTGTGGACAACGTGCTCGCCATCAGGAGAGGTCTAACCGAGGATGTCGCCAAGGTTAGCGGTTCAAGCACTCCTAGTTCTGGCGTCAAGGCTACAGGAGGGCCATCATCTTCATTCTTCAACCCTGAGGACAATCTCGACTCGATCCAAACGAGAAGTTCAAAATTCAGACAAAATGAGAACGGTGCTGGTGACCTGAAGAAGCTGCTAGGCGGAGTGGAGAGTCTCCAGACTCATGACGCTGTGGAGGCGGTAAAGGATGATTCAAAGCCAACGGTTGTTTCCGGGACCGACGGTGACGTGAACGGTGTCAATGGACAGAAGACAACATGAGACGATGAGGCGAGGGTACGTAACCCCCGAAGACACGGGTGCGTTGTTTGAAACGGCAAAGTCCAGGTATAGACTGGGAAACGGACAAGGGCATTACAAATTGCAACTTCCAGATCTTGCGGAGGGATCGAGAGACATGGGCGTCAAGGGAACATGGGAACCACAGATTTGCTTCAAATCGAATACTCAAGAAGCTGCAAGAATTTCAGGGTTGGCTAGGCTAGGCTGAGCTGGGCTGGGCTGGGCAGGGCAGGGGACATCGGAGCACGGGAGCTATACAGGCAACGCGCGAGTTGCGAGAGAGAAAAAACTTTGCTATTGCCAGGTGGGCGACGGGTCTTCTGGTCTTTGGTTCTTGCTACATACAGACATACATCTACATATGAAGGATGGCAGAAAACAATGCATACCGACCCGATTTTCATGTCTGACCTGACTTGACTGGACCTGACGGTGTCAGTTGTTGCTCGTCATGATGAGTGAGTGAGTGTGTGTACATGCCCATCAAGGCAGACCCGTTCACTACTTTGCTTTGCCAAAATACTTTGTCATAACTTAGGTACCTATCATAGGCATGTAGGTATCATTTTTCTCAAATCCGTACGTGCTTACATGCCTTTACATGCCTACCATGCCGACAGCCTGACAGCCTTACATCAAACACGCCTCCTTCTCCGACGAATGCAGCTCGCTCCCACCGATTCGCATTCTGCGTCCACGTCCGCGCCCTTGTCCTCGTACAGCAGCGCCGCCAATGCGATGTGCTGAGTTTGCTGCTGCCGTCGCCACCGGCGGCGGTGGGACACTTTCCCTCTTCGCCTTGTCCTTATCTCCACTGCTGCTGTCTTCTGAGTTCTTCCTCTTCTCTGCTGAATGCGTTGCCGCCGGCGTGGTTCCAGAGTGGGATGGCGTCTGAGACACAGGTACAGGGGTAGACGCAGGACCGGGAGAGGGAATGTAGACGTAGACGTCGACGAGCCACTCGTACCAGACTTTGCGGTCGTCGGTTTTGCGCCACATTGTCAGGGTGAGTTCGGATTGGTCGGGGAGGAAGAGGGGTGTCTGTCGAGTTCATTCCGCGGTGGGGAACGAGTGGTTAGTATCTCTTCTTTTACAACGGGAAAGAGACAGGAAAAGGAGAATGACAAGAAGAGGGAAAAAGAGGATAGAAAAGAGAGGGGGGGGGAG